CAGAATAATCGAGATGAAACCTCGCCAAAGGAAGCTCAGAGGGGGAGGAAGAACGCACAAGGTACGCTGCCGCGACTTCGCTGGCGGTGGGGAGGGAGCACGCCGGGTGTCGCGGCCACGACCACCACGACCGTGTCGCGCATGGCTTGATGGGGCCGGCGGCGGGGGCGCGGCGGCGGCCGCCGCCTGCTTGCGCTTCTGCAACTCCTCGTGAGCCTTCGCCGCTTCGGCTTGCCTCATTTGTTGGCGGAATTCCTGGTCTCGAAGGCGTCGCTCCTCGGCCTCCTTGGCCTCGCGCTCGGCGGCCTGGCGCTCACGCAGCGCCCGGGGGACGAACACCGGCTGGTCGGGCGCGCGAGGCATGTTAGCATGTTGAAGGAGAAACCGCGGGGCTCAGGCTCGTATGATGGCGGGGCGCACCTTGTCAGACTGCTTTTGCTCCTTCTGCTCGCGCCGCTGGCGGAGAAGCTCCGCCACGTCAATCGGGCCAGAGCGAGCCTTGAGCGGAAAATCGGCATATTTGTGTGGAAGGGAGGCGGGCGAGGTGAGTAGATGGCACAGGCTGGAACACAGCCAGCGTGAGATCGAAAGAAAGGTGACGCACGGTCGGGGGAGCAGGCGAGGGGCGATCGACATCACGATCGGCATCGCGGACCGCGCTACGGGCAGACAGCGGGCTGGCATTGCTTCCACCGTCGCGGGTGGTGCTACGCAGGGAGGAGCTATCCCGAGGGCGCATGGCACGAGGTATGTGACGAAGGGGCAAATCCGGAAGAGGAGGGAGAGGAAGGGAGAAGTATGGACAAGTGGGTGGATCACCCAGGCACGGAGGGAGAGAAAAGGAGGAGGGGGGGGGGAGAGAGAGAAAAGGAGGGGGACGGGGAGGGAGAGAGAGAAAGGGACTGTGAGCAGGGAACAGTCATTCTACGGGGGGCGTTGGGCCCGATATACTAGACAAAATGCCACCGGACTCGGTGGTCCTTTACGTCGGCAGTTGGCCAATCCCCTCGCGTCCGTCCTAACCGTGCGAGCACCCCCGTCCCTGTGCCCGCGACTCGGCCGGGGGGTGCCCTCCTTTTTTTGGCCGCACTGGCGCCAGTCCTCGGCGGGCTTTCTTTTTTTTTTCCTTCCTTTTTCCTCCTTTTCAGGTCCCACAGTCAATACAGGACAGGACTCCTCCGCAGAGTTCCCTCGCCCTCCTCCCCTCTTCCCTCCCCTTGCCCTCTGCTCGGTAGCTGCGCCCCGGCTGCCTTGTCATTTTCCCGCCCCTCCCCTCCCCCCCTTCGGAAGCACGCGCCATGTCTCTCGGGATCCCCGTGAAGCTCCTGCACGAATCGTGCGGCCATACCATCACCGCCGAGCTCAAGACCGGTGAGGTGCGTCATCTGGAAGCCTGGGCCGGGAATTTCAGGCTAGGGCCCTTGCTGTTGCTGCTGTTGCTGCATGACTGCCATTCGCTTTCCCCTTTTAACCTTCCCCTGCCTCCGCCCCCTTCCCCATGCTATCCGCATGCCCTCCCCAGGTATACCGCGGCAAGCTTGTCGACGCTGAGGATAACATGAACTGCCAGATGGTTGACGTTACTTTCACGGCTCGGTGCGTTTACATTATTATTTTTCCTCCTTCCTATCAACCCCCCATGGCCTCCGCTGCTGCCCGGGGTTCGCGGGCGCACCACCAGAATGTCCAGGATATATAAGTCCTCGCGACTGACGTCAAACAAAATAACACCCACTCGCCTGCCAGTGACGGTAAGACCTCGCGCCTGCGTCATGTTTACATTCGTGGCTCGCACATTCGCTTTTTCATCGTCCCCGACCTCGTGCGCCCTGCTGTTCCGCCATTTTGTGCCTTGTGTCCCCTTCTTCCTTTTTCTCTCTAACACGCCTCCCTCCCCTCCCTCGGTGTTCTCTCTCGCTCTCTTTACGGCCTCCCTCCCCCCCCCCCTTCTCCTCCTCCCATCTGCGGACACGCGTAACCACAGCTGAAGCACGCTCCGATGTTCAAGCGCGCTGGCATCAAGGGAAATAAGGTCCCCTCCGAGGAGAAGCCCGGGAGTGGTATGTCATAAGGGTCCTGCCATGGCCATGCTTGGTTCTTCGCCTCATCCTTGATCCCTTTCATTGTCGATTGGAGCCTCTCGTCAACTTACACACCCCACGCCCTCCCTTGTGTGTCTCTTTGCCGGGGTGGGGGAAAAAAAAAAAAAGGAAAACGCCCTGGGTCGGATGCTCCTGGTGGCCCGGCCAAGCGCGCCAACAACTAAGTCCAATTTACGGGGTTCCCCACGCACGCGTGCATCTTCGATGCCATGACTTTGCGTGACCAGGAAGAAACGGGGCCTGCCCTCTCTCCCTCCCCCTCACACGCGACGACGCCTCCTCTACTTTACCCACCATATATCTCCTCCTCCCTCCTCTCATCTCTGTTCTGGGACTACATCAGCACGATTGCTCATTTCCCTGCCTCTCCCCTCATATGGGCGGGGGAGGCACATCGCCCGCATGATGGAGCCCTAGCACGGTCTGTCCTTTGTCCTTCATAATACTAAACATCTGAGTTTGCCTCTCTTTTTTTTGGATCATCCCAATGTTCTGCCACACCGGGGCAGGGTCCTTGCCTTCCGGGACCGAGAGGGGGAGGAGAGAGAGAGAGAGAGAGAGAGAGAGAGCGAAGGCAAAGGCAATTCCCCGGCCCTGCTCCCGGGGTCGACAGCTGTTGGCATACGCTCGCCTTGAGGCAAGGCATTCAGACAAGGTGGGAGGCCTCCCTGGGTCATGACACCAATTCGCGGCACATCGATGTGGGATTTGAGCGCGGCTGCGAACGGCGGGACACACGGCGCCAGAAGAATCCCGCGGGCGCGAGGGGCGGAAAGCCCGAGTGGCCCATCGTGTGGTGGGGATCAGAAAAACTGCCGCCCCCATTGGATGCTGGTGTGACTTCTCCGTGTGATTGTCGGATCTTAATATACAGAACGAGACTCCGCCCGGAAACCCGGGGGAGTCTCTGGGGCGGATTGAATCTCCGGTTCTTGCGGGGACGGGCGGAGGGGGGGGGGGGGGGGGGGAGCGAGTCGCCAGTTGCCCAGACAAGCGAGGATGAGTGCTACCTCGGCCAAGGGAGAACAAGGAAAACCCGCGGGGCCGTCCCTGGGGACGGGGGAGGAAGGGGGGGGCGGGGGCCAGCTCGGCTGGCCCGGACCTGTTCCCGAAGTGGCTCCGATCGCCGGCCATGGCCTTCGCGACCGGGGTCCTCCTCGAGAGCTGACTGGCTGCCGGCTGCGCGGGTACCCCCCACCCCCTGCCCCGCCCTGGCCCTGCTTTTGGCCGGCCTCAAGCGAGTGTCCCTCGGCCATGGGGGAAGGGCGAAGCCCGCTCTTCGGATGTGGCCCGGGACGATCGAAGAGATATGCATGCCCGCGGCCCAGGCGCGACCGCGGCCTTCTCTCGGGTCTCGGACACATGCGTAGGTCTCCCACCGGAGCGGTGCGAACCCCGGCACACCGCTCGCGCTCCTCCTCTCAAGGGAGGAGGGGCCCCGCTTCTTGGTGCGCAGCCTTCCTCCAGGCCCGTGCCCATCCTCATCCGCTGGGTATCACAATTTGGGCGAGCCCTCTCCGTGGTCGACACCTCCTCGGTATGAACACCCCATCCCCTCCTTCTCACCCCCCATCCTTCTCTTTGCACGCCCTCCCCGCCCCCTCTCCCCTACGATTGTCGCCTGCTGCCCACGCCCCCTCCCCCCCTCGTCTTTCCAGCCCGTCTGTGCCCCGTCAAACCGTTCCCCGTTCGTGCGCAGCCTCGCCGGCCCGCACTTGGACCAGCCCGTGACCCCTGCTCCTTACTCCCGTCGCTGATCGGTCTCCCTCCCTGTGTTCGCGCGCGCGTACACGCACTTTTGATAATGGCCACCCGAGACCGCTTCGACACCTTCCTTTCTTATCGCGTCCATGACCGCGTCCCCCTCCGGGTACATACGTCGCAATGATGCCCACCCCGGCTTTGCCCACTTGCTGACCGCGCGCTTTGAATACCTCTCTGGCATAGCCTCCTCACCAGGAGCACGAGGGGCTCATCGCCTCCAATCGCAACGACATTGAGCTCGGCCCGATGGCCATTACCCCGCCCAAGTGGTGCGTTCTACTTGCCGATCCCCGCCACCCTCTGCCTCTCCTCCCGGCAACATGCGAAACTCACCTCCCCCTCTGTTCCCTTCTCCGTCCGCCCAGGGTGCAGTTCTTCAAGGCCTCTAATGACATCATGGATGTCATCGATGTCCACCGTGCGTGCCGGTTTCTTTTCCACCCTTGAAGGTGTACTTGAGCTCCCAGTCGCTAATTTGTGATTCCTCTCTCTCTCTCCCCCCCCCTCCCCCCTCTCCTCCCTATTGTCCCCTCTCCAGTCAATGACCTCGAAAGCCGCATGATGAACGCCGCGATTACCACCTTCCAGGACAGCTCCGATCGTGCTCGTAGTGTCGAGGACCTTGGTCAGAAAATCTCTTCGGTATGCAAGCATTGGCTTCGGCCTGCCTGACATATGCCCATCTCCGTTCTCTCGCCATTGCGCGTCGCTAACTTTGGCCCTCCATGTTCTGTCCCTCGCCCGCCTCTCGCTGGAACACTCCCGCCCAGGCCATCCGCGACGCCCATAAGGTGGTGAAGATGCTGAATGTGGCCGAGCGCGACGAGACCCCTGAGGTCACCCTGTCGCGGACAAATGCCCAAAAGAGCGTGGCTCTGCGTCTACAGGAGCAAAGCACCAAGTTGCGCCGTCTCCAGAGTGACTTCCTTTCTAGTACGCCTGGGTCCATGTGCCGTGGCCATTCATTTCTCCGCCTTTGCGACGCGAATGTGGCCACCTTTGTTCGCTCGCCAAAAAAAAAAAAAAGACAACCCTGCTGACCTCAAGAGTTACCCCACAGTCCTCAATGGATCCACACACTCGAACAATGTCCTTCTTGAGTTCGATCAGGATGTCGAGGACTATGTCGATCCGGTGCGTGTCTCCCTGCCACCTGGCGGCTGGTGGGGAATAGTGTGACTTCATTTTGGATCTTCCCTCTGCGCGCCTCCTCCGGCTGACCCTGTCGCACGCACTCCAGGGCTTCACGCTTGAGCAAATTGCCGCGGTTGATAACCACGCGGCCTTTGTGACGGATCGCGTGCGCAAGATCAACGAGCTCAATCAGTCTATAGCCTCGCTGGCCGAGATTTTCAACGATCTGCAGAACTTGGTTCACATTCAGGGCACTGTGCTCGATCGCATTGATTACAACCTGGAGAATGTTGTTGCCCATACGAAGCGCGCCAATGAGGAAGTCCAGCAGGTACGCCCGATACTTTGCCCGATTGAATGGCTGCATCATCTGTGCCACCAGGAAAAGAAGAAAAAAGGCGCCCTCCCGAACCCTCCTCTCTGACCACAACTCCCTGCCCATCCCATTTTGCCATTTGACCCTGCCTCCCGTCATGTTTGCCTTTGACAGGCCTCCAAGTACCAGAAGGGGTCGCAGAAGAAGCTTGCCATCATCCTGCTCATTGCTGTGGCCATTGCGCTGCTGCTGTTCGTAGCGGCCCGCCCTCGGGGCAAGTGATGCGCCAACCAGTGCCGACCTGGCCGGAAGGCGCCCCTGCTCTCCCGGCCGGCCGCATTGCCTCCTTGTTTTCGATCAACCGCGGCACGAATGTCTTGTCGCTTGCGAGTGGGGTGTCTCCATGCTCTCGGGAAACTGTCCCAGGAGCGACATGACCCGTAAATACAAATATGATAGCCGAGCCAGAATTCCGATCACACGGCCAAGGACAGGGAGAAAGGAAGGGATGAAAGAGAGAGAGAGAGAGAGAGAGAGAGGCGGTCAGGGTGAGGGGAAGGAAGTGAGGGGAACACGAGGGGGAAACGAGCACTTGAGACTCGATAAATGGGCATCAAGATGCTCATAAAGCACACCACAGGCGTAGTCCAGGAGATTGGATTTATTTGGCTGGGGGGAGAGGGGGCAAAAAAAAACATACGGAGGCGAGAGGAGTGCCGCCATTGGTCGCTTCGGTCAAGCGTGAAAAGACAACAAGCGGTCGAACCAGCAACCTACTCCTCCGCAGTGGCGGCGATGGTGGCGCTGGCAACATACTGAGTAGTCTTGACGGCGGTGGACTTAGCGGTAGCAGCGGCCTGGTTGAGAGCGGCATCGACGCGGTGCTCATGCTTGCGGAGGAAGGGCGACAAGATCTTGTCATAGATCATGACGGAGCCCTAGAGAGGAGGGGGGATTTGGGTGTATGTGCGTGTGTGCATGTGTGCATGTATGTGTATGCGTGTGTGTTGCGGGTATGTATGCGTGAGCAGGAGAAAGAGATAGATAGATAGAGAGAGAGAGAGAGAGAGAGAGAGAGAGAGAGAAGAGAGGAGGAACAGGGGGAGGAGAGGTGCCATGTGTTGAGGGGGGGCAAAAGCATTGTTGGGCACAAACGCACATGAGTCCAGGGGGAGAAGAGGTAGACAAGGAAGACGAGCTTGATGAAAAAGTAGCCAGGGAAGCTGTCAAGGGAAAGGAGAAAAGAAGAAGCGGGAGAGGGAGAGGTAAGTGTTGAGAAACAAGGCAAGGGCATGGCACCAAGGGAAAGTAGGGAGCAAGATGGGCACAGGGGGGGGGGGAGGGGGAGATGCTACGCACAGGAGCAGGATGAAGGAGATGAAGTACTCGATGGTGGAGAAGAAAGCGTAGACAACCCAATAGGTCAGCCACAGCTTGTCATCCTCGGTCTCCTTAGACTCGATGGCCTTGAAGGAGGCATACGCCGGGTAGACAAAACCCACCAGGCTGGTGACCAGGCCAGCCAGGGAGGTCAGCAGGGACAGGAGAATCAGCGCAACGCCGGCGCCAAAGAGGTGGATCTTCTGCAGACCGGTCTTCTTGGAGATCTTATCCAGCATCTCTGACTTGTCCAGCTGCTTCTGGATGTCGGAGATGATCTTCTCGTAGCTGACCATGGTGAAGGGACGTGACGATGGAGGGAGAGAGGGGGGGGGACGAGTGGTGAAAGAGTAAGGGAGGGGGGGGGGGGTCGAGATGGCGGGGGACGGGTGTGTGGGCAACACCGTGGTACTGCAACCAAGGACACGGAAAAATATCCCAGAGAAAGGCGAGACTTTCGGGAATGCGAGAGGAAAAGAAAAGGCATCCAGCACACCGTATTTGCCTCCCCCCCCCCCCCGGAATCCCGAAGATATCTCGGTTCACGCGGGTCCGCTTCCTGGTTGTAGGCGGGCCGGCGGAGGATCAGACCGCGCCCAGCTCCCACATGCACAGGGGGGGCAAGGCAAGGGGGCGCGAGGGACCACGCTTGACAACATCTAGCGGCGCGCGTAATTGAGGACCGCCCGGGGCGGTGGCCGGCTGCCTGTACAATAGGCCTTGTGATGTCGGCGAGATGCGGCCAGGGGGGGGGGGGACCGGGGGAGGGCAGATCGAGTTCCCAACGTCGGCCGCACCCGAACACTCTCCATCTTTCCTGGAACGACCGGCTGGTCAGTGAGATCCCGCGGGCAGCCCCTCCCGCTGGTGGGGGCATGGTCTCTGAACGAAACCGAGAGCCCGCACCCCCGAAAGGGGGATTCGCAGACCGCCAGACCGAAACTGAGCGGGCGGCGGCGGGGGGCATGGAACTTGTACTGCGCCTTACAACAGCTGGCCGGCCTCCCTACAGCATTACCCCGCGCCGGATAATTAGTGTCCGAACAAATATGCCCTCCCCCCGCAGGGAGACGGACCTCTTGGCAGGTGGCGCCAGCGAGGCAGGGCCACGGGAAAGGGGGGCACCTTCAATGCTCGAAGCGGGGACCGGCGCAATAGCCCCCCCCCCCCCCCCGACTATGGGCCAGGACAGGGCAGGCGGCGGCAGCGGCAAGAGACCCTCTAGCTCCCCACC